ACGGAGCATTGCATATGGTAATGCAATCATAAATCGCATGCAATTCCCATAAAATAATTTATGTTCTTAGGTGAAAAAGGGCGCTTGATTACATGGAGAACGTAAGTAGGAGGCTCTGCGAATCGTGGACGGTGCATGCGATTGAGGAGGAAGATGCCGCGCGAGAAAAGATTCTTGTAGATCTTGCCAACATTGAGAACAACGGTAGCAGCTTGTCAGACGATCCATCCTCTTCAGACGAGACCTTGTCATGAGACGTGTTTTGACGTGGAGAGTGATCTGGATTTGGAACTCGATTACTAGTCATTCATGATTTCACACTAGTAAATGTTACTAACATTTGCTTGACACTAATAAAAAGCTTGTTTTCAGGTGTTATAATCTATTTGCGCATGCAAATGATGTTTAATTCTTTTACTAACGATGTTTTTTCATGGCAAAGCCGCGCTTTCCTACTAACGGATACGGTTTTATAATAAATAACCTTCAACTAACTCGACAGTACAATAAATATAGGTCGGAAATATGAAAATACTGTGTTTAGAACGGATAAAAGCTAGAACATTGCAGAAAATACACATGAAAATGGCTCTCAATGCACTCCAGTAGATGAGGGGCGGCAAGAAAGCCACATTACCGGTATACTTCTAAGCCCCGAAACCGGTGTGTGAAATTTATTACTAGCACTAAACGATATTAGAATTTCGTGTTTCTTTCACAACCTTATTCTCTATTGTTTATGTAAGACCTGAAAATAAGAATACAGAAAAACACATGCAAACTCGCCCGTCATGCAGCCGGAAGCCAACTCTAATAGTTACACAATCAAATGAGACCCTTGCACAGAGGAAGGGAAGCAAAAGATGGGCAACTGAGTGAGCGGCAGATTCAGGAATGCGACGACGTGCAACATGCATGCATGCAACTTCATTCTCTGCAAAACAATGTCATGCACAAGGAAATACATCGTAGCTTACCTATTCTCTGATTTCCAGTAAGCTGAAATAAAGAAAAAGGAAAAAAACGACAAGAATGAGATTACTCATCATTTACTTCAACAAAATTCATGAGCAAGGAAAAAAATTCTGAAAAACACTGCATAGCAGAGTCTAATTTAGAACACGTTAGCATAAATAGCGTAAAAATGCGACGAAAGAAACAAAAGCGATATAATCAAAAAAAAGAGCTAGATTACATGAACGAAAATCTCAAAAAACTGGCTGAAATCGCGCTCAAATTGGATGGTCAGCTCTTCCAGCAAACAATGCACCTATATAATAAATAAACTTGAAAGACTTTTTCGACTCACCTTCCATTCTTTTTTTGCTACACATTATCCTGGTCAGATGTTAATTACTTCCTGCTAAACATTCCCAAACTTCTATTTTGTAGTACGTTGTAGCGCTTGTCCCATTAAGCTGCACGTGTTTCGCATTAAGAAGCAACTTTTGCGAAAAGCCAGAACGCTTTTTTCAATACCTGCGTGTTGCTCGAAACTTCGTCGGCAGAAGTTCAGGATTTTCTAACCACAGTTGCGTTCAAATCATGCTGCAGCATTTCATTGATTATCGAAACAGAGCAGCTTTTTACTTATCGGTGGACTCTTCCTGCGCGAGTTCAACATTAACATTCACAACATTTGCAAATAATTTTCTTACACCTTGTAAATGTAAACATGGTAACACCACGTATTTCCAACATACTTGCGGACTTTCTCGATGGTAGCTCTACAGTGCTACTACAATAACAGGGTGTCCCAAAAAAGTGCGCACTCGATTGCGAGTCTTCTGCTTCATGTCTTTAGCCGATCTTTATGCACCATGCTGTAGAGCTAACTCCAGCGTAGATTGGCCGGTGACAATATCTGATCTTTCTGCGTTAATGTAAGATCATGATAGAAATTTCGAGGAGCGCGCAATTAAGGGTTGCTTTTTGCCTCGAAAAGGAAACCAAACAAGAAGCCTAAACCCCTTCAAAAGACCAACCAAAGTTGCCAAATTCATTTTACGAAAGGTGCACATCACAGTCATACTTCATCCATAAGTTATTCTAGGTAGAGCTTAACAAGTTTTTTTTCTACGTTCATCTGTAAGATGATTAGTTACATCATCAAAAAGCTTAGGAAACTTGACGCCCCATATCTCAACAGCGCTAGATTCTGGAGAAATCGTAATTTTACGGTAACAAAGAGCGATCATGATATTTTATTGACTGCCGAGAAATTCTTGCATCATGGGATACTGACTATTTTGTTTGGCTTGATGTTTGGCTTGTACAGACTGATATTTTGCCGTTTTTGCCTTCCTCAGAGTAAGAAAAGTCAAAACACGTCAGCAATTTATCCGATCCAACACCCTTTCGACCATAGAAAAAGACCCAATGTCTTGGAAAAGTAGGTAGAATGAATAGGCATATGTCTTTCTACAATTTTGGTGTTTTAGTGTCAGTCGCGAATGCCATTTACCAAGTTCAACCACTCCCACTTTTCTCTATAAAGAGTCTTCGCTGCCAAGTGAGTGAAATTTCCGAGATATGTTTGATGCCAAGCTCACTCCGGGGCCAAGACATCATCTTGTATCACCTATGTTGGCCACTCCTGGAATCCAGGGATGGGACTCTCGTCATCCGCTATGAGAACGGTCTATTAAAAATAGAAGCATGATGGTCTTTTTATCCACTTTTTCTGATTCCAGGTTTCATTACATTGATTGGCCATGTCACGTTTGTGACCTAGGTCAAGCGTGGGGCGTGGCACGCCACGCCTGGGGGGTCGTTGAGGGGTCAGGAAGAGGGGGGAGGGGATCGTTATCAGGTGATAGTGATGTTAGCGACATTATGTCATTCAACAATATCTGATAGGCTAGGTACAAAAAACCAGCACTGACGTTTTGGCCTAACGTCATACACGCACAGTAAGCATATCAAAAGAATCCTGAAAGCATAAGAGCACCATTTTCATAATTAGCATGTCAAATAGCCCCTGAGGGCCGAGCGGCGAATTTTGAGGTTTCAAATATTGGGACACTCAGGTGAGGTGGTCAGTTTCGACATGCTGACTTCGTTTCGGTGAGTAAACTACTTTTTTTGCACTCGTTACAAGGTACTACTACTTCTCTGCTTTTAGGAACTCCACTTCGATTAACCTCCAAACTCTGGAATTAAGAGCAAGCCAAAATCTCGTTTGTCCCATTTTTCGCTTTCAATTTACTCAGACTAGAAAGGACCAACCAGGCTTAAATCACTTTTGTGAAAGTTACGAGAATCAGGCTAATGAATGTACTTGTTTTTGGCGCCTTCCGTCGCGATTCACGTAGTAGCGCAGACTTAGCATATTACCGTAAACCAGTATTTTTGCCGTGTTTTCCATTTGCTTAGCTAAGGAATAGCGACTATATCTTTTTCTAGGAAAAACAATTTTGAATGAAATTCTTGCTATGTGGAGAAGAAGGTTTAGCAGTAGCAACCAGATAAGAAAGGCAGAGATTTGAATGCTTTGAAGGTAAGTTAATGGGGTGTGGCACAACCCCTAAAAAGCTGTGACCGCCACAGCTTTTTAGGGGTGGTGCCACACCCCATCAACTTGTCCCCAAAAAAAATTTTAGCGAACAAAATACATTAGTTTGATAGCCTAAGCCTTGTAGTTTTCATGGGAGTAATTTGGGCCTAATTCATCTTCTTCGCTCTGGGTAAAAGCTGGTGAAAGCGCAGCCGTTGGAAGCGAAAAATGGGACAAACGAGATTTTGGCCTGCTCTTCCCTCTTCCAACTCTATAATTTGATTGTTATCCAACATGTTGACGACCGCGCCATTTTGGGCGAAAGTCCCACTAACGTCCTTCGCGCATTTGGCCCGTGCATACGCGCGGATGCACGAAAACATTATGTGGGAGTCTTTTTGACTTACTCTTAGAGCATGCGAACTTTGTTCAAACATACAGGTATATCACAGAGCCTTACTAGGACTTACACAAATCAAGGTTTTTGCATCGATTTTCACTCCAATAAACCATGCAGTGGCTATATCTGAGATCCCTCTCCGAGAAAAGCGTTGTAATACCAGGTCTTTTCTGCCTGATTCATCCTTGTTTGATTTCAAAACAGCTATACAGAGTCTTCACCTTCTCGGAAATACGTAGTTAGCATGTATTGACTACATCAAAAACGGACTGATTACCCAATTTTGCGGCCGAAACTTCTGAACAACTGCCGCGATGCCCTGCGTTCTGTAAGACAATCAGGCCACTAGTAGTATTACTGCATAGAAGTTACCTTAAAACTTTTCGTTTGCACCTAAAAAACTAGCGTGCATACGCGCGGATGCACGACAGTGCTAAACGGGAGTCAGGGCGTGCATACATGCGTATACACAAGGTCATCAACGTGTTAAAGCAGGATTTATGGTATGGGAAAATAGGGAGTAAATTAGCTAATTCACTTTTGAAATACAGTCAATTATCTTCGAAAATGTTCACTTTGCTTGGGTGGTCCAATGTTGGGAATCCTCAGAATTTGCTGAAACTTGGCCCGTGTTTATTTGACATGATAATTACGAATATGTGCCTAATTATGCATGGTAGAGCCTTTATGTCATGAGAAGAGAAGCTGGTGAGGGGGGGGGGGGGGTTTGAGACGGATTATAGGTGGGGGGGGGCGTATCCAGCTCTTGTGTGCCACAGCTCTTGCTCGACCTTGCTTGTAACTCGTCCTCATAAAAGACACCGGTGAAATCTCAAATGCTTAACGGGGTTGAAAGGCATCGCACAAAATCAGAACTCCTTCTACAACTTCGTTGTGAGCAATTTCGATCCCGGTATGCTACTAGATGGAAAATAAGTTTTTGGAAGGTGATTCCGCAGCTGATTTCTTCTTGATTTTTTCACTTCTTCTCTCTAAGCATTCACCCTCATCAAGCTTTGTTAGAAATTCATTGAGCACATATAAGAATCTACTTTTTAGCAGCAGTTTTCAAGTTCTTTCAATTAATGTTGTACACAAAAAGTTCATGTTTGTATATGCAATGACAAGTTTGTACTTTTTTATTGCAACGTACATAAGTTAAATTTGAGATGGATAATGGCCGACAATAATTGTGCTATAATCGAGATTCTGAGCAGCTCATAGTATGACTATGTGTATTTCTAGTTGATGCAGTCTCTGCTTTCACCAGGGAATGAGCCAGAAAGCTGGATAGTTCCTGCGTCATATACCTGAATTGACAAAATTAATGGAAAGTCAATTATTCAACAGATTTCTTGTATTCTTCCAATCTCATTTGTATAGCTACAAGGATTCATGAGCTTACCTTCTTTGGTGTTTTTCCATGGCTTACATAGCTGTCAGGGATGAGAATAGAGAATTTTCTTTGGCAGGGCTAAAAAAGAGAGAAATGAAAATTTGGTTGTGATCTGTTTCCACAAAACTATTGCTTTCGCAAGATGATTGGGAATTTTGCTAATTATCAAAGTAAACAGTATTTTGCACCACTCAAAATCTATGAACATATGAAAGTCAAAGTTTGTAAGTAAGGATGTTTCCGCGAAATATGTGTCGAATAAAAAACTTTGTGTGTGAACCAAAAAGCGCCAAACTTTGCACACATATGTTTTCAACATTTGCGCACACGATAGGCTACTTTTTGCTGTGATTCGCTCAGTCGTTCTAACGATTTATTGATTTTTAGCACTTTGCAATGAAAGTGATATCAGCCGTTATCGGTATGCTTGCAGTGATGTAAACAATGCAGTAAAGTTCATTCTTATTTTGAATTGAAGAAGATGCAGTCACTCGTAAAATATCGTTCTGAAGTTAGCTCATGCAGGAGAGTAAGAGGGAGGGGGGGGGGGGAGTTTTCAGTGCAGCATCGAGACTTCAGGAAAGGTGCAAGAGAACCTGGTTGAACCGAACGAAAAAGAAAGGAATGGGGCAAGGGGGACAAATATGGCTTTGGCTATTTCCCTGAAGTTGGGTTGGTTGGAACTAGGAAAGCCTGCTAGTCGCTAATAAAAATCAAGTTTGATTTTTTGGTCAAAAATCACTTTGACGTCACCTCACCTTCAAGCCATCGTTACAATCGTGGTAGATGCTGAGCTTAGGGTCAATGGTGGTATATTCCTTTGTCCAGCCAGCCAAGTGAAATTCACCATTCCTGTCTGATACCTTTTCGTCCATGAGATCATCCGCGTCAGCTAAACATATGATTATCGAAAATAGAGTGGCTCTATAGATAAAAGAAGTAAATTTCATACTTCGATCAACATCCCACAGCTTCACCTTGACACCTGCTGCTGGCCTACCGTCACAAACCAATCGGCCTTTGACCTAAAATGAGTCGATTGGTTCGCTTTTGCTTGTTGTCATCTAACAAATATGATATAGGTTCTCTTAAACCGTTCGCGCATGATCCTTGCAAAAATAGGAGTCACGCATGCTAACAAGTCGCGCTGCTCTTGCTCGGCCCCGCCCACAGCGAGACCAATAATAGCCGACGCTGACCAATCATAAGCGCGCCACTGTGGCAAACGGTTCAAAGAGCCATTATCTCAAGAATCGAGGTATTGGAAATTTTCGGCTGATAGGATGCAATGCATACGCTAAATTATCAGCGGCTGGCTCAAAATAAAATGTTTGGAGAAGAAAAATCAGAGTTTTGTCTAACATGATGTATTTTTAACCCCAAGAATTCTTTTTACATGTGCCAAACTCACCGCTGATGATTGATCTCTTCCGAATAATTCGATGGCGCTTGCATAACCGAGGAGAGCGCAGAGCAATAAGTAAAACTTCATTCTGAAATGAATTAGATACAGAGTAGCGGAAAATCTCGAACGGCTGTAGAAAAAATCTATTTCTCTTAATGTTAGTTTTCTCTCATAAATGAAAGGAACAATTTTTGTCAGCAGATCTATTACTCAAATGGTTCAAAAGCTTGATAGAGTTCTTCTTTTTTGAACGTTTGAGTAGAAAATTCTTGCGTATTTTTTAAGTGCTAATAAAATGAAGACAAGAAAACATACAAGCACGTTGGGAAGATCCCAATATTGACAAGAAATAGTATAGCATTTTAAAAATTTATTACAAATGATATGGTACAATATATAAATTCGCAAATATACATGTGATGGCTATGCCTGAGATGACAACTATCAGTTCCAAACGAACTAAAAGAGGTTTCAAGTAAGTTGTTGGGTAAAATGCTTAATTAATACAATCTCTGCTTTCACCGGGGAACGAACCGGCCAGTTGAATGGTACCAGCATCATAGACCTGAAACAAAGCAATTTTGAGGTTAAGATATTATTTTGCTTTTTGTGATATAAGAAAGTCGTGCAATAATATTGACATACCCTCTTCGGTATTTTTCCGTGACTAACGTAGCTGTCTGGGATCAGAATCGAGAACTTTCGTTGGCAGGGCTGAAATGTAAAGATAAGGCTAAAATCCTAACAAATAAATTTATACCCTTTAAAAATTCCGTCAACTTGGATTTTGAAAACTGAGTTAACTGTGTCAAAGGTATCACAGATCTTATTGATTGATTATTATCATTACTTTTACTGTTTTTGGTACTAACTTTGTCATCACTACTGTTACTGTATACACTTATTACATTCTTAAAACTCCAATTTTTACCCCTGCTTTAACTTGCTCTAGTTCACTTTGAGGCGCACGCCATACTGATCCACTTAATCCGCTTGAACCACTTCATTCACGTCGCTATTGGTCAAATCAGTGTTCTGGCCAATAGCGAAGCGGATCAAGTGGATCAAGTGGACATCCGCTTTGCTATTGGTCAGTTTGCGAAATTAATTAATAATGAAGTAGATCAAGTATGGCGTGTGTGACCCATCTTTTCGCTAGCTTACCTTGAGTCCATCATTGCAATCGTGGTAGATGCTGAGTTTGGGGTCAATAGTAGTGTATTCTTTTGACCATCCAGCCAGATGGAATTCACCGTTTACGTCAGTATATTTCTCATCCATGAGATCATCAGCATCGGCTGGAAACAAATTTTTCAAATATCGTGATCTCCATCAGAAACTGCTGAAAAACTCCTCACTTCTATCCACGTCCCACAGCTTCACTTTCACTCCAACGGCTGGCCTTCCATCACAGATCAATCGTCCTCTAACCTGCAAAATACCTTATCAGCTATTCCGATCAAATTTTTTTCACACAAATCTATTTGAAGCCCAAAAATAAATACAGTTGCAGCGGTGGAATTTGTCCAAAACTGCGGGATTGTCGGGATTCGCGGGATTGTCGGGATTCGCGGGATTCGCGGGATTCGCGACTTCGCGGGATTTGCGGGATTCGCGGGATTTGCGGGATAAGCGGGATCTAGCTATAACTTCTTTTAAAATAGCTTCATTTGTAATCTGAGTGAAGATTTGGCTTCAGCTTGATGAGACGAATCTTTTGATATACGGTATGTCCGTAGTTCATAGTGACGGGGTAGACATACAATGATACCTTGTTGTTTTCTACGTTAAGGCTTTTGTGAACATTTATCACAGTGTAAATCGCTTATAGGAGGTTCTGGTACGAAGCTCTCGTTATCGAAAACTATCGCGAAAAATTGGGCAGTCTTTATCTATCCTTATCGCTGATATAAGCATTTTATCATTTATCACTGATAATAACACATTTTTGGATCATTTTTTGCATATGGTAAGGAAAGTACTGTAGGAAAAGCTGTGTGAATTTCTATCGCTCTTTCTCTCATTATAACTGATCTGCAGGCTTTTCTAGTTCTATTGCTCGTTGCAATTGGTAAATCCCTCGCTGCAGCAATCGATCGATTTTTCATCGGCACATACCATTGCTGCCAATTCTTACCTAGGATGGCATTTTTGCTTCAACTCGCTTCACGCCGAAGCCTGGGCTGAAATTCTGTACCTATATGGAAGATGAACGTGGAAATCGACCGCATGAATTTCAAGCCATTCTTATCTGTCGTTGTCATTGATATCATCATTTTATCATTTATCACTGACGACACAAAATTGGATCATTTTTGATATACAATAAGAAATGCACTTTAGAAAACGCTGTGTGAGTTTTTATCGCTCTATCTCTTATAGTACAAAACCACTCACAAAACATGCAAAATTTCCGGGAATTCCGCGAAAATCATCTGAATCACGCAGATTACGCAGGGCCATAACTTTTTCCCGAATGAGTATATTCAAAATCCGAAAACAACGTTGTATTCAGCTCGTCAAGGCAAATCTTTTGATATACGATTGTCTCCAATATCTTGTTTTCAATAATCTTGAATTTGCATGCCGACGCCTCTTCGCATGGGTGTAACGCAACAAGCATCACACATAGGAGACTGCCATGGGCACCGTTCGATAGCACTCTTTCACTAGATTATCGTGCGCTAAACAGCAGCCGAAGCCTCTTTCAAAAGAGATAGAAGAGCTGATAAACTCTGGAAAAATTAAGCTGTTCCAAGTTTTACTAGCCGTAACTTTCTTTAGAATGAACATTTTCGAAATCAAAAAGCAGATTTGTGTTCATCTTGTCAAGTCGAATCTTACTGTATACAGCATGTTCTTGAAGTTCCGTTTTCAATTTTTTCAAAATTTTCTGCGCGCGTATATTCACAAAGTCGCAACGCAGCGCACATCAAACATAAAAGACTCTATTGAACACTGTTGGATTGTGCTGCTTCCGCAGATTATCGAGCGGAGAATCTTTTTGAGAGAAGATAGAAGAGCTGGTGAATTCTGGAAAATCGTGTCTCAAATTTTGCCCACAGTGACCCTAAAATGAGAAGCTCTACTGCTAAGCAGATGTGGTTTTCGTAATCAGCAGGTCGGATAACCTCTATGAGCAAGTTTTCAAAGAAATTTGGGTGATCCGATTTTTTCCGTTCTACGCCCTGAAGCTCGCCGATGGGTTTTGGTCAAAATGTCGATGACCTTGGATTGTAAAGAAACTTCGCCCAAAGAGGTTTTCGAACACGCTGTTTACGAAAATAGTGGTCTTTGAAGAAGACAGGGGTTTTTTGTAGAGATATTGTGAGGTGACTGTAACTGAGTCATGAAAGTTCGTAAATTTGCCTGCACTTTTCGCGAATTTATCAAAAAACTAGCCTGCTTGCTTTTCCAAGTCAAAATCACTGGGAACTGTGCTATCAAAAGGTGCATGCTCAGGCTCCAGTCTATAAAGTTCGCCGAGTTACGAGCCTACGAAAAGACGTCCTCATAATTTTCGCTCAAAATGTAAAAATCGCGTATTTCGTCGAAATTCCGCCCTCAGTTGTATGACATTCTGATTGCATATGCTCACTTCGCCTAAGGGATCCCATTGAGTTGAATATGGTGGTCGCGCGTTCTTCAGCTGCTCATTTGAATATCCAGGTGTCAAGTCTGAAGAGTTAGCTATTCTCTTAACTTGATCAGCTATTCTCTTAACTTGATCCCTCTACCCTTAGTTTCTTTCCTTTGTAATAACATAACAGTTCTGACTAGATTATTTTATCGTTATAACATAAATATAAATATGAGGGAATATGGAATATAATTGGGGAGGGGACCACCGAGCACCCGGGGAGTGCCAGCTCATCTGAAGTTGGTGGCACCGCCCAGTCGGCGAGGGGACTGTCGGACTCTAATTAGTCTGCGTCTCGACACAAGCACCTTCGTAGCTTGAGCTCAGATCTACCTAATTTCCAAATCCAGCACATTAAGACCATTAAGCAATGTGAACAGATTTGATCAGTATGTCATACAACCACTCAGGGTGGAATTTCGACGAGATACGCGATTTTTACACTTTGAGCGAAATTCATGAAGACGTGTTTTCGTAGGCTCGAGTACTCTGCGTTGATACCACTGCTT